GGCGGGGCTGAGGTGGCCGGCGGCGGCGGGGGAGGTGGCGGCGGGTGGAGCAGGAGGCCGGCCGAGGCCGGTGAGGGAGTAGGGTTGCCCGGGGCTTGAGGAGGCCGTCGCCGGGAGTTGCTGCTGCTGTTGTTGCTGCTGCTGCCCGGACATGCCGGCCTCCTCCTCGTCCACTGTCTTGCGCTCCTCCCTTTTGCGCGCGCTGCCCCGCCGCCGCCCCATTGGCCGGGTCCTGTCAGCTGATCCTGTGTTATTTCCTGTGTGTGTGTGTGAGGGGAGAATGGAGAGAGTAACCTCGGCACCACCACCGCGGAGCCGCCCCCGGCTCGCCCACCTCCCTCCCACGGCACACCAGGCAACGTCTCGCGGCACACTAGTGTGCCGCGGAACACCGGTTGGGAAACACTGCCTTAATATACTTAAGCTTCTAATTTAGAGGGAAGGGAGCACAGAGTTGACTGATAAAGGGTATCCCAGCCTTGAAAACAGTTTAATATTTTCTGTGGCATACAGAAGAGGAGCTCCAGGCCATGTTGAACACCAATGAAGGTTCTCACTACAATTAATTCTGTTTGTGTCCTGAATGGAACATGCAGCCATTAGCTCCATTTCAGTGGTATTCAGAAATGAAATTCAAGTGAATACTAAAGATCTTTGGGCACTGCTCCCTGACAAGCTCAAGGGTCTACTGCAGTTGCTTTGGAGCAGGGAACAGGTGGCACACATTTTTGCCTTTATCTGCTGTTCTTTGTATTGCTTTACTTCTGTTTTTACAACCAGTTAGGAAGCTATCATCAAACTGCTTACTCTGAAGTATTATTTCCAAATGAGCTCAACAGAATCACTCTAAAAGCCACTTCAAGGTTTACAGTGGTCTTCAGTATCATAGCTAAAATTAATAGAAAAGCACTGTAAAGTTGTTGTTTTTTAAAAATTGTAGCATCTGAGTCAAGCATTTTCTGGCAAAAACGTTCATTTTCCTAGAACCAGCTAATACCCTTGACACTCAAGGCGCAGAAACATCAAGAATTTTATCAGGATTCCTCCAACTGTGTGAGGGGAGAAAACCAGCATGTACAGATATTAGGGCTCCTAACATTTTGGGTCTCAGAAATATGGGTAATTTTTCAGTTTTACAAATTCTCATATTGAAAATGATCCTGAACAGTATGGTATACCATGAGTATATGAGAATCATTTGTACTCAGTCACTGTAGGATAACACTGCCTAGCACAGCAATACAAATATCTTTCTTCACAACAGAAATCTGCCAAAATGAGTTGCAGCCTAGACTTATGTGTTAAAGCAGCTCTGCAGGTTTAAAAAAAACACTTTTTAATATGAAAACCCCTGCAGCTTGTTTTTACATTAATGTCATATTATGAAACCAGGATGCAATTTTAAAGTGTCATCGTTTTCAGTATAAACCATCACAAATGCCACCCTTTAATGTAGGCAAATCATGCCAGATTCTTCTGGTGTTTAAAGAACATTTTCAAGGGTGCTGAACATCTATTCCAGGGGTTCTCAAAACCACAAACTTAACAGCCTCCACCAAAACCAACCAAATCAGAGATTTAGCAAGCATAATCACTTAAGTCCTAGACAAATGGATCAAATCATGGTTGAGGGGCACACATGATGTGTAAACATATAATAGCACTTTCAAGGAAAGCTCCTCCCTATTGTCAGTTATGGATATTAGGCAACTGCCCATGTCTTACCAACCAGAGGAGGGCACCTCAACACTCTGCTCCCTGACAGATCCAGCACACAAGACAATGTCAAGGAGGAGCTCTGTCTTCCCCTTACAACTGCCAGTGTCTCCTTAAGAAAGCCTGCATCACAGTGTTTAACCATGGGATTAGACTATGGTGACTGTAAGACTTCAAGAAACAAGTATATTAAAGCACCACAATACTTGAGCAGGAGCAGATATTTATAAGCACCAGAAACAGACGACTGTTGTATTATACAGGGAACAGTGTACTTGTTGTAAACCTGCCTCAAGCAGTTCCATGTATGCTTTGCCCAGGTACCTAGCTGGAAGGGGCCATTCTTTCAAATGGGCTCTGCTGCCACTTGCAAAATGTGTCATATTTTGACTGCGCTCTCTGAATGGAAAATCCTCTCAGCGCTAGGAGGCTAGTGTCTGCTGTACACACCCATTGCACAAAGCAGAAATTCCTGTCAATAAGGCAAATGGGGCCCAGGCAATGTAAGGGGAGGAAAGAGACCTACAAACAATAAGCAAAGCATCTGGCTCTCTGATTTACTGGAAGGGAAGCTAAAGTCAGACAAAGTGTAATCACAGTGCTGCATCTCCCACTTCAGAAAGATCAGATCAATTCTTGCAATTGCAAAGGCTGTAAAGGAGACAGACATCCCTGGATATTCAGGCCAGATCCTAAAAGCAGTCCCAAAGACTGTGACAGCTATGGGTGAAAACTCAATTTGCATCATCCTAGTTGAAAGCTTGCATGCCCCAGAAAGAAGAGTCCCCTCTCAGTGCATGAACCAGCCATCTCCTAAGTGTAGCACTAATGGAGGTTGTGCTGCTGTCCTTCCCTGGAGACAGCAGCCAAGACTACTGAAGCTTCTCACGTAGCAACCAGAGCTCCAGAGCCAACATTAGCTGCTTGTCAACGCTCTGAACGTTCACCCACAGGATCCAAAGCAAAGCAACAACCTCGGTCACCTCTGCGCTGCAAGACATAGCTAGCAAAACCGACTTCCTGGGCCAGCTGGAGGGGGGGAGGGGGCAGACTGCCTGATGTCACCTTCATAGGTGAAAAGGGAGAGTCCTGAACGCCATTAAGGAAGTAGTCCGTCTTTGTCTAGTCTGTAACCCGTATCCTCAAGTGTCGACAGCTCATTTGGAAAACATTTTTGCAATCAGGCCTATGTCTTCACTGCCAAAAATCATGGGTTTTGAGGCCATGGCCCCATCCCCCTACAATACAAAACCAATTCATTGTGCTGCCCACAGCCTCTGCCTGAGTGAGCCTTAAATACTCCAATTACATAATGGGCCAGGGAGAGAAACTGCAGGAGGCCACACTGCAAGGGCCATTATCTCCTTAAAGTAACACCAACCTCAGCAAAAGGAATCCCAGTAGCATATTTTGTTCCATTCTGCAAAAATCTCCCTGAGCATAGGGGCTGCTGCCTGAAGTACAGGAGGCCCCACTGGTTAACTGCAGAGACCAAAACCTCTCTCAGCTAGGTACTTCGCAAGGAAGAAGCTCCTGACATTCTCTAACCTCACCAACCACTTCCCAGATTGCTAAACAAACCATTCCCCAAAACTGTAAAAAGGATTTTTGTCTCAGTTCAAGGCAGCTCTGTTTCAAGTAGCAGGCCACTGGCACCCCAAGGACAAGCTGCTAAAGAGTGGGGGGAGACTATGACGACCTTGCCCACAGCACTATTATTGTGTTTGCAAGGGGCTGTGTTACCACTTAAGACGCAGAGATCCATGCAAGAAAACCGAAAAAAGTACCCTGATAGAGCACACACGTCAGACAATGAAAAAGTTGGGGGAGGGGGTCCATACTGCAGCCTCCAGCAGCAGGCAAGGGAAAAGGAGAAGAGGATTATTAAAGTGCACCACCATCGCCACACAAGCACCATGAGAAAGCAGAAAATGCAGGTCAAACACCTCCTCCCCCGTTGCCTGAAGGAGCCAGCAAGTCAGAAGCAGACAGCCGAGGAAAGGGAGGGGGCGGGAAGGGAAGGAGCAGCAGCAGCAGCAGCTCAGGGGAAGCTGCTTCAGCACATGGAGGAGGAGGGGTGGAAGCAGAGGGGAGGCAATGGTGAACTCACAGAGGAGCACAGACGGACGGTCGCGCGCGCGCACACACACACACACACACCCTTTCCTGGCAAACAGCTGCTTTGAAGTGGAAGCCATCGTCCCAGAAAGGGATTTTCCCACATTCTCACAGTAGGCTTTCCACAGAAGATTGGACCGGCTACTTCCCCACCTCCAGCACGACCCTGCTCCACACACGCAGACATGCACACTGCACCGAGAGAATCCTGCCTGGGAACCCGAAACAGGAATGAATTCAGAGGTTCCTTCAAACCACCACCCCTCCCCCACCTCCCATTCTCTCCCTCTCACAACACACACACACACAGGCCACTCTCCCTCCCACCCCCTCCAGGACCAGACACGCAGGTTCGCCATGACGCCCCCGCTCTCCTCCAGCGCCTGGCACCAGGCAAGCTCACCCGCACCCCCCACGGCGAGGAAGGTGGGGGATGGGTGGGAGCGAAATGGAAAACAGTCCCACCACCTTCCCTCCCTGCGGGAAGACCTCGGCGGGGATTCCCACTCATGGGCGCACCCCCAATCACACACACACACACACACACACCACACTCACAGACACACAAAAAAGGGAGGTATATAGAAATATATATGCACACACCTATGCACCTTTGGAGGTATCTGGATGTAAAGAGAGGAGTGCGTGTGAATGTATGTAGATATATAGATATATATATGCACACACGTATATGTATATGTATACACATTCACACGCACCCCTCTCTTCACATCCAGATGCCTCCAAAGGTGCAGGGGAACCGGGGTGTCCAACGCAGGCCAGGGAGTGTGACCTCTTTCTTTCCCCTCCGACATGCGGGAGAGGCTCCACTTCCCCTGGAAGAGGCAGGCTGAGGTACTTCTCTCTCTCCCTCGCCCTCCCCGCCCCCCACACCCCTAAACCCCCCACAGCAGGGCAGAGAATGCATGGAGAGAGTTCCGGGGCAGCTGGAAAGATGCGGGAGCTTGAAAGGAGGCGGCGAGAGAAGGGGCTGGAGCAGAGGAAGGACCACCGAGAAACAACCCCTCACCGCCACCACCACCATAAGTTTCCCGCCCCTCCCCCTCCATGGGTCTCTTTCCCACCCGCCTCCCGCCTTTGGAACGGGTGTCCCCTCTTCACCCCACACGCCCCCTTTTTCCTGCTCTTCATTTGCCTTGGCTGACCTGTCCGGCCCGTTGCCCGGGCCCCCGGCACTAGGCCCTGCTGGGCGCCACGGTGTTTCCTAGGCGGCAGGCGGGACCGAGAGCTCAAGCTCCACAGAGCAGCGGCCGCGGCCCCTCCCCCTCCGCGGCACCAGCGAACAGCCAACAGCTCCTCCTCAGCAGGCCGGGCGGAAACGGCACTGAGCGCACGGGGATTCCCAGCGCTGGCGCCAGGGGCGCCCCAGCCACGCCCACCGGCCCCACTCATTGGCCGGATTTTCCGCGCGATCTCCACCCCCTCCGCTCTTCCTCCCGCCCTCGCCTCTCCCGACTCCTATTGGGCCCCTTCTCTTAGGGCTGGCGGTCGCCCCCATCCCGTCCCCCTGCAAGCCCCAGCGGCCCCAGCCGCCGCCAGCTTCGCAGAGGCTCTGCTCTATTGGTTGTTGGAAACGCCACTCAGCTTCGCGTCAGCCTCGGCAAAGGCTATAAAAGCAAGCGCGGCAGCTTTCCCCGGCTCAGAGCAGTGCGGGTGCGGTGGGTGGATGGATGGGTTCTATAGTGGGGAGGAGAGAGAGAGAGAAGCTGTTCAGGGCAGTTCGGCTGCTGCCCGCGCCTCTGCGCACGTGGGTCTGCTGCTCTACGTGCTCAAGGGCGAGGCAATCTTCCGATTGGCTCGCCTTTAGCCAGTCCCACGTGGGGTTAAGTGCTGCTTGGGGACACGTGGCATGGGAGTGGGGGGAGGGGCCGGGCTCAGCGCTGGCTCCGGAGGGCGCTTCTGTGCATGCGCGCCGAAGAACCGGTCTGGGAGGAAGAGCTGGCTGCAACACGGCGCATGCACCCTCCTGGGTGGCTGGGCTGCAGGCGGGCGGGGGTGACTGCAGGGGAGATTCGCGCCAGGAAAGGGGGTGTGTGCTAGGCTGGAAGCGCTCTCGTTACTTAGGGCAGGTTAGGGCTCGCACTGCTGCTGCAGGATGTAATGCGGGCTTTGCCAATAAGCCCTATTGTGGCGGCGGCGGCGGCCCTCTTTCCACCGTCCGCCTGCTGCCCTCCCCACGCCAGGATCGACTGTCTTTGCCTGCTCTGCATCGCCTCACGTCCCCCCCCCCCGTGATCTTGTAGCCGAAGCCTATAATGCACGTATTTACTCGGGGCCCTGCCGAATTAGCCGGGATTTGTTCCCAAGTAAGCGTGCACAAGATCCGGCGGCCCTAATAATTTGTAGCTTACCCTGTCGACATACACCCAAAAAAATTCCCCTCTTTGCACAGGTTGCCTTCCCCGAGAGTAGGAAATCCTCTGAGGGAAGGGCCGGTTTTCTTCTCTATAAACATTGGCGGTGCTGTGCACACAGTAATTTCATCTGCCGCTCTGCTTGCGCAGCCTGAATTTGGGCGTACATCCTTTTCTAACGCTCGTCCGCCCTTTCTCACAAAGCTTCGTGTTAAAAACGAGGAGCAGCGCTTTTTAAAGAAGGGAGGGAACGCGTCTGGGGAGAGATCGAGACCAGTTCTGTACCAACAATGGGAGTAAAAAGTGATGGTCGGAGGAGCTCCCTTCCTGTTGTGTCGCGATGGCCTGAGGTGCTCATCATTGCAAGTGCTCCATCCCGGATAGGCCCTTTTGCCTGTTGACAATATGTTATCGCAGAATTCAGAGAAAGCCCAGTATCAAATTTTGCAGTGCATTAAAGCATATGCTGCAGTAAATGTGTTAATCATTAAGGTGCCACACAAGTCTCCATTGTTTTCGCCGCAATAGGCTAAAAGGACTACGCCTCTGGAAAGTCAAGATAGCTTTGGCAGCTCTGGAGGACTTGCCAGCCACTAAAAACAACATCAGTTAGAGTGATATAGAGGTACAAGGTTTAGAGGCTGGGGTACAAGACCAGGACTCCACATGGTCAGAGATGGAGAATCTGTGGACTTTCAGGTGCTGTGGGACAACAGCGCACCAGGTCTATGACCTGGGTGAGGCTGATGAGAATCCTGCCTACAACATCTGCAAGGCCACAGGTGTGTTAATATAAGCAGCACCCATCTCTGTCCGTGAGGAGTCCTGGTCTGGTACCCTAGACTCTCTGTACCTTATGTGGGTCATACTCTGTTATCTATTCTTGATCTAGATGGGCTGCTAGTCTGCTTGCATTTGAAGAGAAGCCAAGTGTGGCCCTCTGGTCATCTGAAGTGTCTTTTAGATACATTTGCAGTTCCAGGAAGTCTTTTCTCAGCCACCGTCTCTCCTGTGTCTGCGTAGATTTGTCTGCCACCCCCCTCCCACCTTCCCCCACTATGGGAACCAGCTAAACACAGACCTGTGTCTGCTGCAGAGCAAGAAGCTGCACAGCCGAGCTGCTTGCACCTAAGCCTGGTGAAATTAATGAGCATGCCCCTGGCTGCATAGTTGTATTTTCGTCCCTCTTTTTAGACCGGGACTGCTTCCCCGAAATGGGTCAGAGCAATTAAAACTCAGTACACAACGCCAGCGATGGGTGCCAAACAGAAATGGTAAGAGGCTCGCAAATTAAAAGGCACGTATGGAGAAGGCGCTGGTGGCAGGGGAGGAGAGAAGATCTGTTTGGTAATGCCGTGTGGCTCTAGCCGAGGCCGATTCCCTTTTGCTGTATATTGTGCTGGGACAGAGGTGGCGTTGCTATCCGGCAGCTCTGGGTTTGGTGGGCACTGAGAGAGGGCCTCAACCTTCCCCCTGCAGTTGTTGCCACTAAGGAAAGGAGATCCTGTAACAGTCAAGGACAGGGAGAAAAAAGTGGGAACTGCAGGGATATGTTGCAATGTGGAGAACTCCAGTTTGCCAGTAGGGTGTGTAGATGCACATATATGGTGTTCCATATTGCATCCACGATAGAGCAATCCACCTTTTTTGTTTTCTAGCAGGGCTGCTGTTTTCCAGAGCTACGTGACTCACAGAAAACCAGATGATTTTTCCCATGACTCTTATCTGCATGTTTGTGTGTGTGTGTGTGTGTGTGTGTGTGTAATTTACCTACTAAATATCTGCTTTGTCACCCAGTGGCAAGTCCTGGCTGCGTTACGTCTAAACTCAAGATCCACAAATCCAGAGTCTTGTATTTTTAGTTCTTAGGCCCTCCAAAACTCCCTTCCCATCTCGGTATTCCCTGTCTGCGTTTGCAGGATGTAGTAACACTTAACATCGGCGCAATGGGACATGAGGCTGCCTTCCGGTAGGCTGAGATTTTGGAAGTCCCATCCCCCACTTTAAAAAGAAAAAAAGGAGCAGCAGCCGCCACAGCCCTGTTTCTATATCAGGCCCCATAATGCAACAGTCCAGCCTCCCTCCTCCACCAGGATGTGGAGAACAGGAAACTGGCACAGCTGCTCCCCATGTCTGTGGCAAAGCAGGGGACAGACAGCGGCACCTGGTGGCCGAAAAGGCATTGTACACGCTGGACAATTAGGTTATTTTGAGAGCGCTGGGCTGGCCACTGTGAAAAATACCCTTGCTCACTGTCATCAGGCATGTTGGGTCTTCCATCAACAACTTAAATTCATATTGGGGGGCGGGGAGGTGATAGACAGCAGTTTTCACTGCCTGGTCATATGAAACCAGAAAACTGCTTTACAAAGTATTTGTCCGTCTAGTCCGCTATTGCCAAAGTCTGGGATGGGATGGGATGGATGGGAACACCTGAGGCCTACGAAATGTTTCTGGACTACAACTGCCCTCGTCCCAGACTGCTGGGTGGGTCTGAAGGGGGCTGGGGCCCACCATCCAGGTGTTAGAATTCCTGCTCCGTGGTTGCAGTCATGGGAGTTGTATGATGGTGTATGTTTCAACTCCACAGAGTGGGAAGTGACGGAGACAGGATGTTTGTGTTACTGTGTTCCGTGAAGTGGAACTATTGTCCTTTGTTCTTTCTCTTTGCTGTCCGATGCTAGAGAGAGAGGGAGCCATGTTGCAGTGCTCCGTGTGTGTTTATACGTAAATAAAGTAGATTAGCCAAAATGCTGAGGTCTGTCACGCAAGCTGCGAAGACTCTGCGGATCCCGAAGTGTGCCAGTGTCTGTTTGCATCGTTGTGGTGTTCGGGCTGAAGAAAGCTAATGAAGCTCCCGAACGATCGACCAAGAGGGAGAGAACATGCCAGTTGGGCATGTGTCTCTGCAAAGGTCCTACTCAAGTGTAGGACAAGCTCCTGACACCAGGTTCCTCAGGTCCCGCCAAATCAGACTAAAACTCATTGTCTCCACCATCCTGTATCCCACAGCAGCAAACCCAATGCCACTGCGAAGTCCCAAGTAGGTCCCCAACGCTGTAGCCCTCTGCTGTTATTTCACAAAACGATATAGAGTTGGAAGGGGGCCCAAGGTCATCTAGTCCAACCCCCTGCAATGCAGGAATCTCAACTAAAGTACAGTGGTACCTCGGGTTAAGTACTTAATTTGTTCTGGAGGTCCGTACTTAACCTGAAACTGTTCTTAACCTGAAGCACCACTTTAGCTAATGGGGCCTCCTGCTGCTGCCGCACCGCCGCTGCACGATTTCTGTTCTCATCCTGAAGCAAAGTTCTTAACCTGAAACACTATTTCTGGGTTAGCGGAGCATATGTAACCTGAAGCGTATGTAACCCGAGGTACCACTGTATCCAAGTCAAGTCACAGTCTGCCCTGACTGGCAGTGGTCCTTGAGGGTCTCAGGCTGAGGTCTTCACTATCCAATGTTCTCTGCTCTTTTTTTCAGATGCCGGAGACTGGAACCGGAACCTTCGGCATGCAAAGGATGTGCTGTGGCGGAAAGGAAAATAAAGATAAATGTATTCAATAGAATTTTGACCTCCCACATGACAGAGGAACAATCCTTCTCCCTGGACATCTGTGGTTAAGAGTCTATTGGTTCTCATTCCTGCTATGGACCAGACTCGTGTACTTTTTTGGCCTTGCTTATCTCAAGGGTTTCTCTTCTCACAAACAGCTTCGTGCTCAAAACATGGAACCTCGTGGCAGATTTGTACAGTGGTACCTCGCGTTACAGACGCTTCAGGTTACAGACACTGCTAACCCAGAAATAGTACCTCGGGTTAAGAACTTTGCTTCAGGATGAGAACAGAAATGGTGTGGCGGCAGCGGGAGGCCCCATTAGCTAAAGTGGTACCTCAGGTTAAGAACAGTTTTAGGTTAAGAACAGTTTCAGGTTAAGAACGGACCTCCAGTTCTTAACCTGAGGTACCACCGTATGCTTAGGATCCCAAGTTGGTGTTGGAGCTTGCTGGAAGCTATGCCTCAACTCAGCTGGCTTTTCAGTTTCTAGCCCTCATGCCTATCAAAATATTTCCAATTATGCTCTAAATGAAGCAGAAGTATAGCGTGCATTTTTATGATGCTACTAAGGCAGAATTTCCTTTTTTTCATGTTTGTTGATCCACAGTACTTGTAAATACTGATATTGAGCGGTATTCAAACAAACTTTAGTCAGAGTAGACCTACTGACATTAACGGACCTAACCTAGTCATGTTCGTTAATTTCAGTGGGTCTACCCTGAGTAAAACTGAGCTGAATAACATCTGCAATCTGATGACGCAAAGTAAGATTTGCCAGGACTAGTATATTACTATAATGCAAGTCATTTAAATGCGATGTAGGATGTCAGGTATATGCAAATTTAACGTTTAATTAAAAACACGACGCGCTTGGAAGCTTGCATACATTTTTAATCATTTATACAGCACTATCATTGTACATGGAACCCTTACGGCGCTGATTTAAGAAGAAGAAAAGGAGGCAGGTCCCTGCCCCCATGAAGCAGCAATCTAAATTTTGACAGTATTAGATAAAAAGGGGGAGAGGAGAGGAATGTGAGCAAATGCCGTTAAATATACTTAGAGGAGTCTTTTAGTCCTCATCCACGTGGCTAGTAATGATAGGACACAGCCAAAGGCTTCAACGAGAAAAACCCAGCGAATGTCGAGAGAAAACACGGTCGTTTCACATGGGTATTCACACTGATGTATAAACCAGACCAATGGATTGCAGTGCCACCCAGCTGCATTGCAGAGAGCTGTGGCCAGAGGGTGGTGCCTGCACTGCCACACAAAGCCCTGCTTACCATAGCACAGTCTCCCTTAGTTGTCACGAAGGGGAGACCAAGGGGCCAAATCTGCTCCCCAAATCGCCAAATCTGGAGCGAAGAGGGGCAATGGGAGGAACCGGTGGCGGCAGCAGGAATGCCACAATTCTTTACTTACCATACAGGTGTTTTTAAAAAAAGGCACAGGAGCTACCCTAGAAGGGGGGCGAGGCAAAACTAGCAAGCTGAACGCCTCCTGTAGAAACAAGTGCAGAAGCAGCAGGGGAAGCACACGCAACCACCCGAAGAACGCACATATATGGGAACGAGTTCTCTTGCAAGCGGGACTGGCCTTCGAGCCTTGAGAACAGGGATCAGGCTGCACACTGCTTTAACCCAGCTCCTAAGTGGAACCCGGAGCACAGATGGGAATACCAGCTCTCAACGTGACTGCCACTCTCTTTTTGCCCGCCTGCTTCCACTTTTCTAAACCCTCTGTGCTTGCCGCCACGGAGAAGCGAGGAGATGGGAGGCAGCTGGCTCTCTCTGCCACAGTTCCAGCCCTCCAGGCTTGCCAGTGCTAAATACGCCAGGCAATTTGTTTCTTTACTTTGCCGGTACATAAACTTAGCAAATTGCACACCTACCAGCAGGACCCTGTCTTACGAGTCACTCCAAACCATCGGGGGGTTTATGACTCGGCTGTAAACATCACGTTGTCTTTATTCCAAGAGGCTCTTAACCTAGTTGCAAGCTTTTTTGTCTTCTCCTACCCCTCAAACCCCCCCCCCACCCTCCGCCTGCAACATGGGCTCCTGCCAGCAATTTGTCTCATTGTGTGGCGAAATACTTGACCTAAATGGCAGGGGGAGAGAGGCAGGCTAACAAAATGCTTTTATTGGATGACACACACAAAAAAGGACCCCCCACTCAACCGTCCTTACCCAGAAACGCTCCGCGTGACCTGTTAAAACGGGGCCAGGCTATTAAACCTGCTGGTTCGTGCTGAACTCTCCTTTTAAGCAAGTAAGATGAGCCTGCAGGATCAGGCCAATGGCCTGTCTAGTCCAGCATCCTGTTCTCACAGTGGCCAACTGGATGGCCGTGGGAAACCCTCAAGCGAGACCCCAGCACAAGAGCCCTTTCCCTCTCCGGTGGAATCCAGCAACTGAGATTCAGAGGCCTCCAAGTGTACACAAGCCTTGCCGCCATGGCTGGTAGCACCAGCTAGGCTTATCCTTCATGACTTTGCCTAATCCTCTTCTAAAGCCATCCAAGTTGGTGGCCGTTGGAGCGAGTGCCACAGCTTAACTACACAATGTGTGAAGTGCGGTCCTTCCATCTGTCCTGAATCTTCCAAGAATCTTCTCCATCTCCTCATCCTCCTTTGACCTCCTTGTCATAAAGGTCCAACCACATCCCTACATGGTCTCCTGCTACTAATGTAATTGAATAACTTCTTTGTTGTTAGTCTTAATGCTTTTAGCAATGCGCACCTCAAATTCCTTTACGCATCCCTTACTGTGTGCATGCACCAAAGCTTTTGCTTCCTTCTTGTTCTTTCCATTTAGATAAGGCTTCCGTATTTTGAAAAGGGCCTCCTTAATAACTTCCTCGACTCTGCTCTTTAATCATGCTGGCATCCTCTTGGCCCTCATGACATCGTTCCTGGTATGCCACAAACATTCCTGCTGAGCTTCCCATGTTGCATTTTTTAACAACTCCTAAGCATTTTGGAGTGACTTAATCCTCTGGGCTTCACTTTCCTTTTTTATCAATCTCCTCACTTGGGGAAAGTTTCCTCTTTTGAAGTCAAATATTGGGCCACACCACAATACTGTGCCGTGTTTTAAAGGAGGGGAGTTTGACGGCAAATCTTATCTGGACTGCAATATCCTGGGCCTCTGGGTGAATGGCCTATTTGCAACACTCATAAGCTTTTTCTTTTCTTTTCCAAATTTACTATAACAAAGCCATCGTAATTCCCATGGACATAGAGCTATGCAACCAACCAGCAGAGACTTTTTTTTATATTAATTGAAGCTACAGCTAGAAAAAGACCTTCAACTAGAGTTCCACCTGAAAACAAAATTAGGGGGTGACATTACAGTGGTGCCTCGCAAGACGAAAAGAATCCGTTCCGCGATTCTCTTCGTCTAGCGGTTTTTTTGTCTTGCGAAGCAACCCTATTAGCGGCTTAGCGGATTAGCGCTATTAGCGGTTTAGTGGCTATTAAAGGCTTAGCGGCTTAGCTGCTAAAAGGCTATTAGCGGCTTAGCGGCTTAGAAAAAGGGGGGGGGAGCGGGGAAAAAATCGCAAGACTAGCAAGACGTTTCGTCTTGCGAAGCAAGCCCATAGGGAAAATCGTCTTGCGAAGCAACTCAAAAACGGAAAACCCTTTCGTCTAGCGGGTTTTCCGTCTTGCGAGGCATTCGTCTTGCGGGGCACCACTGTACATCTTCTGTTCCAACTTTTGACATAGAATTGGCACCCATTTCCACAGCTGTCAATGTGTACTGAAAACTGAACTGGACAAGCAGCAATACAGGTGTTACAGGTGGCATCTAGAGTTACCTATGTATTTTTTAAAAAAACAAAATGCTTAAAAAATTAAAGCAGACAGCTTTTCTCATCACGTCATCTGCATGCTGGGGAAAACGACACCTAGGGAATATCTGTTTCAACAGGCAAAGAGCCCGGTCGGAAAACAGGTGGTAACTTTGGTCGAGCAAACCACACACCAGGTTTACCTTCTTTCATCTAGACAAGCTAACAATTTTGGCCTTCAACTGGCAGGGCCACTGACATGGGTGTAGCCGGGGGGGCAACTCCCCCCCCAAATCAATAAAAACACATAGCTAACTGAGGTCCTGCCCCCCCCCACAAAAGGCCTGCCCCCAAAAAATCCTGGCTATGCCCACAGCCACTGACCCCAATTTTATGACCCAAGACTTGAGTGAATACAACCCTATATAAAAGCTAAGCCGAGCTATGCAATCCCAGGCTCCCCTACTGACTGTACCCCCAAGTTTCTGCTATCAGAAAAATTCAAAATGGCCGCCATTCATTCCTTTCACAGCAGAAGACTGTGGAAAAGGACGCAAAGTCCAAAAATGGATTGCAGGTTGCAGTTTGGTGTAGGGGAGTGTCCTGGAAATATCAACGTCTAGCAGGTAGAAAAACCGCTACAACAAGAGACCCACGTTCACACCAAGCCTCCGTCACAGACCTGGTGTGTGGGCCTCTTGTTCTGAATGTTTGAGAACCTGGAACAAACACTAAAACATGCCTTAGGGAGATGTTCTGGGAACGACACCAAGACGAGCGGACATCTGTTTTGCCACCTGGGAAAATGCCCCGCCACGCGACAAGTACCTGCGCAGCAGAGCTCTCAAGTCCCGTCCCGTCCCCCACTTCCCTTCTCATGAATCCCTTCTCAAGAGGCATGTTTTTCATTTATTCGTTGAATACTTTTGTTCTACCGAAACAGGAACACTCACATTGGGTTTTTAATCGGACAGGAGGGGAAGGAAAGGATCGCACACCGCCGAACACCAGCAAAGCTGCATTCTCTTCTACATTGGTCCTTAGCTCTAGGCTAGGTAGCAAACATTGGGCCTTCCGGGTTTTTGCTGAACGGCCAACTCCCAACACACCCCAGATTATTGGTCACGCTGGCTGAGGCCAATGAGAGTTGGGATTTCGGCAACGACCAGAGGGCACCGTGTTGGCTACCCCTGCTTTGGCTGCCTCTCTCTGCTGCTTTAAACCAAGGGTGGGCAGACAAACATCACAGCCTAATTTAATGTGGGTGGCTGGGAAAGGAGCAAAATTGGGTGGGGTGGGGAAGATGAGAAGGCAGGGGAGAAAAGGACGGTATCCCACCCACTTTGGACTCGGATCCTACCCACTGCTAGCATGCAGCCCTAATGATTGCCCCCACCCACCCAGGAATACAGCCCCCCAGCAGGGAAAAAAAGTTCTCCATGTTTGATTTAACCCTCCTGTGTCAGCTATGGCCTATTCCTGGATGTGTCCAGCACAGCCATTCCTTATTCCACCCCCCATCCGTTGGCTGGAGACGTGATAGTACGTTGCGAACTCTATTTTCAAAATCCTTTTCCACCCCCCACCCCCTGAAGTCATCTGAAAAGGGTAACAGGAAGGATTCCGCAAAGATAGGAAAACAGTCCACAAGCAGGAATACAAAGACAAGGGATTTCAACTACTTTTGGCTAAAACAGAGATAACGACAGCTTCCTAAGAGCAGTTCAGCGACAGAATAAGCGGTCCGGAGGGGTTGCGGCATCTTCATTCCTTCATTAATAATAATAATGCCCCAAATGAGACTGACAAGTGGCGGCGATGCGTTAGGTACAAGGTCAGCCTTCCCGTCGCCAGGTGACCCCGGCATTCCTTTCATGGTTTCCCTCCACACGGAAGTTTGGGCCACACCTGTACATCATCTCACCTGGTTTGAGGGCGGTATGGGAAATGCAGACCTATATCCATGACAGAGCCACTGGGGAGAGAACCCTAACAATCCAACTGGGAGAGAGAGAGAGCTTTAAAGCCTCCGCCTTACTGGAAAGAAAAAGAAAAGGGGGGGAGAAAAGGAGCGCTCCTCTTATCGTAAAGGAGAGCCACCCCTCCGTTCGGCATGCTGCCCTGACGGGCCTCGAGAACTGCTGTCGGCAGGAGCTTCCTCTTCCCACGAGAAAAGCGTGTGCGCACACACAGGGGCGGCGGCCCCGCGGACTCCACGTGGGGCGGACAGAGCCACGCTCTGAAGCACTTCTCAGTTCAGCAGTTTCAGCTGCCCAGTCACCTGGTTCACCATCTCTTCCTCCCCCATGATGGCGAGGACTGTGTGGGAGCCCGTCGGAACCTGGAACACAGAGAGGACACCCCACAGCTGGGGCAAGCAAAGCACTGAGGAGGGAGCTGCCAGAGCGCTGGGGCCGCACCTCGATCTACCGTGCTCTCACCCCTGCTGTATACTTTCAAGTGCTCCCAATGTGGGATGTGACATCACTGAAGCAGTCAAGTACAGCGTTTCCTGTTTGCCCAGAGTGGACACACAGGGGAATGTTGCTCCAGCCAGGAGGACTTCCTGTCACACCTGGTCTGGAGCATCCTCCCCCTGCGTGTGACCAGGTAGATGGGCGTGACCCTGGCAGACCTTATAAAGGGGCTAGTCATGAAGCCATCTTTCTCTTACTCTCTCTTTTTTAAAAAAAACAAACAAACTTATTGCTCAATTTCCACATAACAAATTATCAAACCATATAATCACCTACATAATTAATAATCCCCTTTTTTATTCCCCTGCCACCAAGGACTTCCCTCAGCTCCTCTCCCTGATTTCGCTGCACATATTTTCTCTGCATATTATAAAATTGTATCTGTCCATACATATCTGTCCATCATGTTATCAACAATAAAGTTGTGTACGTTTATTCAAAACCTGCCAAGGAGTCCACTTCATTTTGTTGTGTTTTTAAATAATTTGTATAAAGTTCCCATTCCTCCTTGAAGTCACAGTTGTCCTTGTCTCACAATTTGTATGTCAATTTGGCCAGTTCTGCATAGTTCGTCAATTTCTCTTACCACTAGTCTTTTGTCGGGGTTTCTTCATTCTCATCTTCCTCTTACTCTCTTCATCCCTTCTCTCCATTATGCCTTTTGCTCTCTGCTAGCACTCAGCCAGCAGCAAATGGACTCATCCCTCACTGAGAACGAACCCACACATTTCTCTGTAACTGTAACCAGGGCTGGATTTAGGTTTGATGAGGCCCGAAGCTACTGAAGGTAATGGGGCCCTTTATATGTCCAGCTGTCCTTTGTCAACAACAAATTGTCAAGGTTTTTTTGTGTTGAATATATGCTATAAGGTAATTTATGGACCTAATAGGTATCTAAAGCCATTTGCTGTATGTAGGTTTTATTTTATTTGCTTTTATCTTATATTTTGGAAATGTACATCCAGGGTTTTTTCCCTTTAAATTTTTTTGGGGCCCCCAAGAGAGTGGGGCCCTAAGCTATAGCTTGTTTAGCTTATACGTAAATCCGGCACTGATTTACTACAAGCTAAAGCCTGCTTTCAGGACCGTACTGTGAACTGGATGTAAGTAAACTTTAAAGGTAAAGGTAAAGGTACCCCTGCCCGTACGGGCTAGTCTTGCCAGACTCTAGGGTTGTGCACCCATCTCACTCTATAGGCCGTGGGCCAGCGCTGTCCGGAGACACTTCCGGGTCACGTGGCCAGCGTGACATCGCTGCTCTGGCGAGCCAGAGCCGCACACGGAAACGCCGTTTACCTTCCCTCTGGTAAGCGGTCCCTATTTATCTACTTGCACCCGGGGGTGCTTTCGAACTGCTAGGTTGGCAGGCGCTGGGACCGAACGACGGGAGCGCACCCCGCCGCGGGGATTCGAACCGCCGACCTTTCGATCGGCAAGCCCTAGGCGCTGAGGCTTTTACCCACAGCGCCACCCGCGTCCCAAGTAAACTTTACCATTACTTTTAAAAGAAGAATGTTGTGTCATTATTGTTTTGAAGAGGGAACTAAAGGGGATTTACCAGGAACAATCTGATCTGGACAAGCCAGACTGGATTGCTTAACTCAAATGGGTCTAACGAATCTATCAACTAGCTTCCTGTAATGTATAAGGGAATGTGCTCTGCTACTAGCTCATTAGAATGAGTGAGGAAGGATATTATTTAATCAATATATCCTCTCCTGCTATCCTCAACATTCCCACACTCAAGATATCAGGAGATTATTTTGCTGGGCTACTACAGTAGTTTAAACCAGATCTTTGTAAATAAATGACATTCTTACTGTATGTGCTGTTGAACATAGGTGGTTTTTTGGGAGGGGGAGGGGTGGGGATTCTAAAGGGGAAACGGTTGAGGTCAGCAAGATAGCCTCATCTAAATTGGAAATGTGTGTGTGTGTGTTTTTTAAGTGGATGTGAATTTTGAATGTCAGGCTGAAATCTTCAGGTTTGTAGCTTGCTCCTTGACAGCAAAGGATCTTTCAAAGTAGCAACTGTACTACAGAACACAGCTTTTGTTATCACCTGGAAGGAACCTTTCAAAAATAAAAGTTGCATAAGTTTGCAACTCTGCTCAATATTGTAGGGGGGGAAACCTTAACAGACACCAGTTTCAACTACAGGCTTAGAAACAGCATTCCATTGCTCAAAAGGCAGAAGCTTTGTTTATTTTATTTCTAAGTCCTCCCATAACCAGGGTTCTCCAGCATTCGGTAGAAACTTTCATCATTTCAAAACCTACTGCCTTTAGTGATCCTGCCCTATAAAAAGGAAGCCCTAACTAGAAAATAAAAACATCCTTTTGCTCCCCTTCAAGTTCTGAAACCAGCATTAGGTATTTGCAAATATACCCAATCTGCCCAACAAAGAAGTCAAACCCCCCATGTGCAGAAATTAAAGTCCTCTTTTCTTACATACCTACCAGCTAGCATCCCTGCAGAACACAAGAACCAGGTACATTCGCTTTGTTCAAGGCAACATACCTAGGAAGCGCGAACCGACTTTCAGAGTCTTTGGCCAATTACCTGGGTCCTCCCTGCGTCTTGCACTAGGTATGTTGGCAGTTCCAGGCTCAGGGCCAAGGCGTGCAGCTCCAGCAACTGGTCAGTGTTGGAACCCTGCAGTACGACTTTCTTTGCACTGAGAGAAAGGCAAAGCAACCTTGAGTGTAATACCAGCTCCCACTCCACCCCGGCGCAGAATCTTGCACCTCCAGCCGAAGAGTCTGGCCTAAGGCAGCTACAGAGATCAGCAGCCCAGGAATTAGGACCTACAAGCCTATTTCAGAGACAACAAACAGCATTGTGTGCTGGAGATCAGGAACATGCTCACCTGCGTACCTGGAAAGCTCTCAGACGTCCGTGCAGGACTGGCACAAAGATCAGGTGTATTTTGTTTAGAGGACTTAAAACCTTTCTTCAACTGATGTGGAGGGATCCACAGCCATGCACCCAGGACTGCCTGTGTGACCGCCTCACACACACACACACACACACACACACACACACACACCCCAATAAAAAAATCAGCGCATGTGACGCTAAAACATGCTCTGCAGGGGTACCAAGCTAGATGTGCTGGACTGCTGGATTCATAAGGTGCTCAGCAAGCCGGTTAAAATATCAAAAAGCCCCTTGACCATGTCATCTGCTGGATCCAAGAGGAAGTACTATGATCAAGGCTACTGGCCTGAATCAACAGACTATAAACAACCGCCTTTAAGCTCCTCCATCTTGCCAATGCCAAGGAGTTTGCTCTGGCTCAGCTTCAACACAGACACATGGTGCCCCTTCTGCAAGGTCTTAGGACATGGGTAGGCGAACTAAGGCCCGGGGGCCAGATCCGGCCCAATCGCCTTCTAAATCCAGCCCGCGAACGGTCCGGGAATCACCGTGTTTTTACATGAGTTGAATGTGTCCTTTTATTTAAAATGCACCTCTGGGTTATTTGTGGGGCATAGGAATTCGTTCATCTATTTTTCTCCAAAATATAGTCTGGCCCCCAACAAGGTCTGAGGGACAGTGGACTGACCCCCTGCTGAAAAAGTTTGCTGACCCCTGTCTTAGGAGGCTGGTGTCCTCCGCAGGCCTGATTCCCCTTCTGCTTCCTTACCCTTGTTCATCCCATTGGTTGATGATGTCCCTGTGAGACGACTTCTCCTGCAACAACTGGAACAGGCCAACTGCAGCATGCCCCACTTGAGCGGCAATCTGCAACAATAAGCACCAAGAATCAAGAAACGGAAAGAAGACAAGGTCCCTACCAGAGAGGAACGGCAAACCAAGCTGACGGACCATGCCGAAATAGCAAAACCGACTGGAAAACTCAGAAACCAAGAGGACAAAAAACTTTATAAGAGAATGGGGGAAAGTTGTAAGTTATTCAGGAGACCACTGTAAGCAGATGGAAACACTGGCAGGATTTTGATTTCACTTGTAGTTTAACAAATACCATGGACAATATGGACTGATATAGAAGTCAGGAGTATGGAATAATACGCAGTTGTAAATGACCAAACTGCGGGAGGCAGTGGAAGACAGGAGTGCCTGGCGTGCTCTGGTCCATGGGGTCACGAAGAGTCAGATACCACTAAACGACTAAACAACAACAACAACAGATGGAAACATACCCGAAGGAGCATCTCCACCCCCATCGTTCTACCCAAACACTGAGGTCCAGTGCCGAGGGCCTTCTGGTGATTCCCTCACTGTGAGAAGTGAAGTTACAGGGAACCAGGCAGAGGGCCTTCTTGGTGGTGGCACCCGCCCTGTGGAACGCCCTCCCAGCCGATGTCAAAGAAAAAAACCAACTACCAGACTTTTAGAAGACATCTGAAGGCAGCCCTGTTTAGGGAAGCTTTTAGTATCTGAAGGACTATTGTATTTTAATATTTTGCTGGAAGCCGCCCAGAGTGGCTGGGGAAACCCAGCCAGATGGGCGGGATATATATAAAAAAATATTATTGGCAGGATTTTGATTTCACTTGTAGTCTAACAAATACGGATTTATATAAAAGTTAGCGCATTGAATAATATGCAGTTGTAAATTTTCAAAATGGGACCCCATGGAGGGGGGGGGGGGGGAGTCGTGAGATTCGGAGTAACCTCTGCACATGGATTTGGATTTTTATAACTTTGTATTTGTAAAATCAAATTAAAATGAATTCAAAATTGGAGGGGGGAGAGAGAAACAAGAAACCCACTTCCCTCGCACGGCTTGCGCCAAAGCATCGCTACAAAGACAGAAGATGACAGCCTGCTGCCGAGATACCTTGCCATCACCTGCAAGGCGCAGGCTGGCAACAAGTTAGGAATCATAACCCAAATCATCTTCTAGACAGGGGTCAACAATAGCAGGTTGACTTCTTTCAGTAGCAGCTGCGTCAGTATTGTTACTGGGCCTCCATCCACAAATTTATTACAAAACCAGGAGCCCCTCATTACTCAAGGGCTCTTGCTCGCTTTCACTTTTCAGCCTTGGATAAATGCCCTCGATGGTGTAAGCCAAGGATGGAGAACCTGAGAACCATCTAGTCCAGCCTCCTGCAATGCACTCATCCTGCCCACATGTAAGCAAACCAGCAAGCAAAGCCAAAGGCCACTTAAAAAGGCCGAAACACAACCCATGAGTAGCTTTACCTTTCCAGTCCCCATGGAGAGCTCCATGTTCACCACAAAGACCATCTTATAGTAACCGCTGCCTTGTGCATCCTCTTCTTCCTGGAAAGAGATGGTGATGATCAAGTCCCTTTCGTCATAGCGTAGTCACCCGCCTCTCTTGTTTACGGCTCAGGATCACAGATAGTTGCTTTATACTGAGTTAGGCCACCGGTCCAGCCATCTGCATATTGTCCACACTTGGCCAGCAATGGTCCTCCAGAGTTTCAGCCAAAGGTCTCGCCTAGGCTTGTCTCTGGAACCTGGGACCTTGTACATGCAAAGCCGCTGTCCTACAGCCCTTCGCCATTTACCACAAGCCTGGTCTGACGCCCAGGTCCTGCCCACACTCAAATACAGCTGTTTAGTACCTGTGGAATTAGGTCCGTCCTACTTCACCATGGAAAGAGGTGCTAAGGAAGCCTTTATGAGGGTCTAGTGTATTGCAATCACTTCACCAGAATAACAGGGCGAGACAGTTGCAGGACCACAAATCTCAGCTATGTTATTTACACATGACAGCCCTTCGGCCGGCCCGCTGCAACCTTCCTCCTGCAGCAGAGCTGAATGAACTATATGATTATTCTGAATGTGTAGACTAGGACTCCGAAGGGCCAAGGACAAAGGTTATGTTTTATGTTGTGAACTGTCCTGTGATCTTCAGATAAAGGGAGATATATTACTAATTTTTTTAATTTAATTTTTTTTTTACTACTATTACTAATACAGTGGTACCTCGGGTTAAGTACTTAATTCATTCCGGAGGTCCATACTTAACCTGAAACTGTTCTTAACCTGAAGCACCACTTTAGCGAATGGGGCCTCCTGCTGCTGCCGCGCCGCCGGAGCACGATTTCTTTTCTCATCCTGAAGCAAAGTTCTTAACCCGAGGTACTATTGCTGGGTTAGCAGAGTCTGTAGCCTGAAGCGTATGTAACCTGAAGCATATGTAACCCGAGGTACCACTGTAATAATTTCCTACCACTAAGATAAAGGGCAGGTTTTTCCTTTTTCCAATATTTTTTATTAAAAGGACAGATTCTTCCCCAAGGAGTTTTAATCAGCACAAGGCTGGGGAAAGACGACAGGTATTTTCCTGATCTAACAGTGCTTTCAGAGCAGGGCATTTATAAGCTTTCTGCTTCCCCTTGCCCAGGGAATATAATTGTCTCAGTTGGGGCAACAATTGGCTTAGTTTCTTAAAGCCAGTCATGCTTCTGGCCCATAGGAAACCGCTAACAGTGTTCCCCCAGGATTGTCTGAGTTACTGATTTGGGCTGTACAGAGGAAGGCAATCCTCAAGCAGTCCTGGGCCTAAGTTATTCTGGGCGTTGTACATTGAAGGATAGAAATGTAGAGTTAGAAGGGGAACCCAGGGTCATCTAGTCCAACCCCCTGCAATGCAGGAATCTCAACTAGATCACACATGACAGACCCACACGTCCAACCTCTGCTTAAAAACTTCATGGAAGTGTGGGAAAAGGAGATGCTGAAGGCGTTACTTAGAGGCGGCACAACACACAAAGTCTGCACCGACTGTAGAAACCCGGAGTATTGGCAGGCAGCTGGAGGTTGGAGCCATGACAGATTGGGTGGTCTCAGTCCTTTGCAGGAGTCTGGTACAAAAACCTTGAACTTGGTCCAGTAGCAAATGGGAAGTCAATGCAGGTCTTAGCTACGATGTCATGTGTTGCTGGTAGTCTCTTTCCTGTCTGGCCATAGCATTCTGCACTAACCAAAGCTTCCAGACCCAAGGGCTTTGCACTAATCAAATCTTGAAGTTACCAACCCGTAGATTATGCATATTGTAAATCACAAGTGGACTTGCTTTTTACATAAAGCAGGTCTTCCTGCATGTGCCAGTACCCCCCAAAGACCAGTAGGCTTTCTGTAAACACTTTCCCCCTTCTAGTGATTTAATGCAAATCCAGCATCACGGCCTTCAGTGCATATCACAAAAATCTAGGCACTAAATACTCTCGTTGCTAGTCATCCATAACCATTCAGTATGAACCAGTTAAACGGCACTGTACCAAGTTGCATCCTAACAACCAGACAGGTGTGGTGGATGGGATCTTTCATTAAGTAGGTTAACAGAGCAAAATGGAGAATGAGGGGAAGAGCTTCAGTTATAAGTATTTAACATGCTTATACGTAGGTGTTTCAGACACAGTTACTCACAGAGACAGGCTAAAGAATATTGGCTGTGAAACAGGCAGCAGCGATTAGTTTCTATTGTCACAGGTCACCAATGTGGAACCCACAGACATACATATACACGCAAGAGGCCTTCCCTGACACCCACAGGTTCCTATTATTTCCAATAAAATTAGGACTGGGGAGGTTAATCCTCATCTGCGCTTTCCAGGAAAACCACACGCGCGCAGATTGGCGAGTGGGTGCGGGGAGGAAGCAAAAACACTTCTTTCAAGGGATGGGGAGTAAGAATGCGTGCACGCGGTTGCTGGGCACGTGTGTACCGTCGCAGCACGGGGTCAAAAAAATCTCAGAGCTGCTCAGTCGCCTCTTGAATATCACCTCGGGGCGCCACACCCTCCGACGCGAGAGTCCCCGGTACCCAATTCCAGAGCGTGCCGGGCCGCAAGAAAGAGGCGCTCTTCACATGCTCAGAAACCGCGTCAGCAAAAAGAAAGGTTTGCGGGTCAAGGATTGAAAAAAGCGTAGGGCAGGGTCGATGAAACAAAGAGAGGAGTGCGTTGGGTTAGGCCGGAAAATGATCCCCGGCGGGATCAGGAGGCAGGAAAACGAGATCGGGCGGGGGAGATCGGGACGGGATTACCTGGGAATCGAGGCCGCTGCTGAAGTAGAGCTGTGCCGCCGCCTCGGCCGAGCGGCCCCCGGTGAGCGCTAGAGCCTGCGGGAAGGGAAAGGGAGACGGCCGTGAGGATCGGCTGCAGGGGGTGGATCCCGGCCCACACCCGGCGCCGCCAGCGCCACAAGGAGCAAGCGGCCCCCATCCCCACCCGCAAGAGAAAGAGATCCACCGGCCACCCACCCGCCGCGCCGCCACCTCGGGGATGCCGAGCTCCAGCAGCGGCGCGACGAGAGACTCGTCCACGCCCGAGTCCGAGTCCAGCGCTTGCGACTCCATTCTTTTACAGCTGCTGCTGCCGGCGCTCTGCCCTCCGATTGGCCTCCCCTGCCGCCTCCCGGCCAATGGGAGCCGCCCGCCGCCGCCTCTCGGCCAATCGCCGCGCCGGCTCCCCGAGGCTGCGGCCAGTGGCCGGCGCCCGCCGAGCGGCGCTTTCCCCCCTCGTGACCGCCGCGGCCCGTCCAGGTTCGTGAACTTGCGCGCGCCTTTGGTCGCTTCTTCCGCACGTGACGCGGCCGCGTTCCAGCCTCCCTGCGAGGTGGGCAGGCGCGGGAGGAGGCGGGCTTTCCCTTGCATGAGCAGCCGCAAAAGATGGCCTTGCATATGTTTTATATATATTTATATATATATATATATATATATATATGTTAGGTGCAATATTATTTCATTTATAATTATTTTATAAATAATTATTTATAAAATATTTATATTATTTTATTTATAATCACACATACCGTAAATAAGAATAAAAATCTGCGCCCCACCACCAAGTATGATTTCAGTGCGCGGAATGGGTGTTTGAATGTACAAGGTCACGCAAAAAACAAACAAACAAACCGCCAATGGGGGGGGGGGGCAAAACGTCGCCTATGAATATTGGCAGTGCACGGTGAAGAGAGCAATTTTGTGGAGCGGAGACTTCTGGACACTGACAACTGGGAAACACTGGCCTGCGAGCACTCCAGTTGGAGAACAGCATTTACCAAAGGTGCCATGGGCTTTGAAGATGCTCGAACTCGGGACGCAAGGGAGAAACGTGCTGAGAGGAAGGCACGCTTGGCAAATCCACACCATGATCAACTCCCGCCCGGAAACCAATGTCCCCACTGTGGAAGGACATGTGGATCCAGAACTGGCCTCCACAGCCACTTACGGACTCACTGTTAAGACCGTGTTTATGGAAGACAAGCTACGAGTGATCGCCAAAGAGAGAAGACTTAGCGGTACTTCTGGGTGGGCAAATATTGGATTGTCTGAAAACCCTGAATTAAATTAAATTGAATTAAATTGTGACAGAGTGCACTTCGAATTAAATTGTGACAGACTGTGCTTTTTGCATTACTGTTTAAGCCCCACTCTTTACATTACTTGCTTCTTTTACACCCATGTGTATAAAAGACGCCTGGATCATAGAATCACAGAGTTGGAATAGACCACAAGGGCCATCGAGTCCAACCCCTGCCAAGCAGGAAACATGGATGGTTAAGTCCAGTCAAAGGTGACTGAGGTGTGGCACTCATCTTGCTTTTCAGGCCAAGGGAGCTAGTGTTTGTCCACAGACAGCTTTCCGGGTTGTGTGGCCAGCAGGACTAAACCGCTTCTGGCACAACAGGACACCGTGACGGAAACCAGAGTGCACGGAAACGCCGTTTACCTTCTCGCCACAGTTATTATTGCAGTGGTATGCTTTCGAACTGCTAGGTTGGCAGGAGCAGGGACCGAGCAACGGGAGCTCACCCCCTCGTGCAGATTTGAACCACCGACCTTCTGATCAGCAAATCCAAGAGGCTGAGCGGTTTAGACCACAGCGCCACCCGCGTTCCCCATGTGTTTATGTCCCTGTGACAACTGTCCAGGGCTCTGCTCAGCATTATGAGGCAATAGTTCAGAGCTTTCCAAACTGCGTCCAGACACGTTAGTGTGTCGGTTGCAGTGTAGGTGTGTTGCATTAACGCTCCCTATGCTCCTCCCGGGGTTGGAAAGAGGTTCGTTTAACCTCGTTTGCTAGCTGAATTCCTGTGTCACGAAATGACGCATGTCTAAAAAGCGTGCCACCAACACGAAAAGTTTGGAAAGCTCTGCAGTCGTTGCTGCTGCCCATTGAAAATGAGAGGGCAGAAGGCAGGGAGGTCAACAGCAGGGGGAGCCAGAGCCAACAACAGGCAGAACCAATCAATCCTCATTTTGTCCCCTATTCCCCTCCCTACAGGGCAACACAGAGACCACAGAGGAGGAAGTCTAGGAAACCACCTCCTAGTTGTAAGAAAGAAGGCAGGGAGGAGTTGGGCCAGTAAGGGCAGACTTGAGGTCAGTGGGGCAATGTCCATTCGCCCTAATGGGCCAACTTTCCATGGCTGGGGGGCTCCCAGATAGCCAGCTTACTACATTTTGAAGCAAGTGAAAGCATAAACATTGTCATCCGAAGAGCCCACCACCACTACCATAAGGCCAACAAGTCCACAGTCTAGATAGAACAGCCTTTCTCAATGTTGGGTCCCCAGATATTGTTGGACTACAACCCCCATCATCCCTGGCCACCTTTGGTCCTGCTAGCTAGGGTTCAAGGGAGTTATAGTCCAATGCCTGGAGACCCAAGGTTGAGAAAGGCTGGTCTAGAATTTCCACTGTGTTGCCACTAGCATTCAAGGGGTGATTGGGGGTGGACAAGGAAGAAGGCAATGCCATTGAAGGACACCGTGATGGAGGTTGTGGGGAGGGGAGAGAGAAGTGCTTATGCTTGGAGCTATGGAGAATTGTTGAGGTGGGAAGGGAGGGAGCTGTGGTAGCTCAATGGCAGAGCATCTGCCTTGCATGTAGAAGATTCCAGGTTCAATCCCTGGCTTCTCAAGGAAGGTACTAAGAGCATTCTCCTGTCTCAGATCCTGGAGAGAGTCTAGTAGCATAGACCAGTGTTCTTCAACCTCATGTCTCCAGATGTTGTAGGACTACAACTCCCATCATTCCCAAACTAGCCAGGAACGATGGGAGTTGGAGTCCAACCACATATGGAGACATGAGGTTGGAGAACACTGGTGTCAACAGTCCTGAGCTAGATGACAAGATGGGTTTGACTCAGTAGAAGGCAGGCTCATTTCCACATGCTGCAGCAGCAGCAGCAACAAGGAGGACTCTTGACTTTCCCACCATGAGGAGTTTTGTGCATGTAACCGTTCGGTTTAAGAATTTTGGCCAATTTTGCAAAAAAATGAAAGTATGGAACCAGAGTTACATATATTCACACCAATGCATCCTTTGCTACAATTCCATTAAATTTTATTTTGTTTAAACCAGTCATGATCTTTTCTGTATGTTTGCATTCTATTCTTTACTTGTTTCCTGCATGAATACACACAGTTCCGTCTTCTTCAGATTAGCAGGCCATTCATTGTGGTTGCGGTATTTTTTTAAAATTGCATCTTAATGAAAAATCAAGTTATACATGGGCCCCTACGAACACAGGCAAACAATAATTTTGCTGATGAGGTGTGTCAACATCAAAGGTGGCGTAGGAGGACCTTAAGACATCTCTGTGAGATCAAGTGGTACAGATCCATCAAAATTCAAAAACCAACAAAGGTGTCTAGTGGAGGGGGTGGGGTGATGAATGGGTGTGCACATGCTCACAAAATTCTTAAAAGTGGGTGAGGGGGAAACAGCTTTGAATTTTGTAACATGGGGAAATGGATGGGCTGAAACATTCATCTAGATAAATAGATGGAACATCATGAAAAAGTTACTACTGCTTGTTCTTATTAGACACTCAATTTCACATTAAGAGGGTGGAATTGGCGCACCAACCAACTTAGGATGAGGTATGAAGTGTGCAAGACTCTCAAGAGTTCTGCTTAAAATCCTGCAAAACCATCAGGCGCAGAAAGGACTGGGTGAACCCAGATGATGTTTCTAGAGCAGAGAAACCTCCGTTTCCAAAGCACTCCAGTGGCAACTGTGTCTCCTACTTTACAGAGGACAATCCTCTATTTCAAGGAGTCTTCTATATGAAGGTCTGTCTAGTCCAGGTCTGGCTCAGTGATAAAGAACAGTAAGAAAAGGGAGCAAAGGCCTTGACGTTTCTCCACCAGCTAGATAACAGACTGAGCAGGTACACAGGTAACCTCGTCACAGTCTTTTCCTCTGCCGGTGAGGTGTATTGCAGTTCTATTTAAATGATAGTAATTCTATTCTAAATGTGCACCTATACATACGAATTGGCACATGCAGATCTAATGCAAATCTCTGCTGTCTCTTTTATGGTGATGTATATGCGGCCACCCTAGGAACCATCCTCACAAGCGTCTCCTTCCTCTCTGTGCTGCAGTTCTGCAAAATATATATCTCTCTCTATATATATATCTATATCTCTGCAAGTTTGAAGCAGAAGGTCTCCTAACCTGTACCTGATACTGATAGGCTTGCCCATCCATGATGTCACTCCAAAGCCGGATCCCAATCCCCAGAGAAAAATCTGCTCTTCTAAAACCACTGCAGCAAAAGTCACGAATGCATAAATGCAAACGTGGAGAAATTAAGGTGAGCAGCTTGCCTGAGATGCGTGTGGCCAATATCCAGGCATACACACCTGTCATTTCCATTGTGAAGCCAGGAGGAAGCCAGGCTCACCCCATGGCAGAGGAGGGCCGCACCTTTTGTCTTACGTTAGGCTGGTCTTCACCCTGTAGAACTGGTTTGCCAAGGTGGATTAAGAGGAGCCGTATCCAGAGTTAAACCATGACCATTTGCTCTTCAAGAGCCTCATCCATCCAAGACAAAGGGCAGCCAGACTAGGCATGATGTTGACTTCATCAATACAATTAATGTGCATGTGTTTGGTTACATAAGCAGATCTGGGACTCGTGAGGGTGGGAAGAATTAAATTCTCTCTCCCAGATAAATTTTCCCCTCCAAAGGATCCACTTGCATTCCAAGGGATGCAAATAGCAGCTTCGGAGAGTTGTTTTGTGTTCGATTTGGCAGGGAGTGAAATAGTTGAACTACCCCTCTGCACCCTGTATGGTCCCGGGGTGCTTTGAGGCCGGGGCTGTTGAAGTTCAGTAGCTCGTTGTGACAGCCCCTAGATAGCCACACCCCCAAGGAGTTGTTGTTGTTTTAAGCAGGTGTCAATCTGCTCTCAACTTCTGACTCCCTCTGTGCTCTAGTGAAACTTGAAAGCCTCGTTATCACCTCATTCACTTTCCAGAGCAAGGAGAGCCTGTCAATTACCCTGGCTCTCCTGTAAATGAGGTCATCGCTCCCACTCCGAGAAAAATCCCAGAGCTGTACTCCCCGGTGTTCCCTTGTCCGTGAGACCCCTGCTTGCTTACATAACAG